GGATAAGCCGGGGGGGGGCCCCCCCCCGGCTTATCCGCCGGGGGGGCGGATAAGGATTTCATTGTTACCCCACTCTATTGTAATGCTGTTTTACCTTGAGATGAAAATTTGTATTGCATGACTGCGATTACAACTACGACCACGATACTTTTGCACAGGATAGCTTTCAGCGTTTTGTCGAACTCCTCCGACTCCACCAGATTTCCGGTGTGGAAAAAATTGTAAAACTCGCGCCACAATGGCGGGAAAAACCGGTGGGGCCAGTGCCGGTTGATCAGTTCCGGGACGCAGATCTCGCTCAAAAGCTCCTCGTCGGTGAAATACGCGAGAAACCCGGCCACGATGCTCCCGCCGGAAACGCCACTGATCACATTCGGGAGGAATCCGCGAAACTTCGGCTTCACGTCGTTTTCAACATCTACAACTCGTCCGGAAGGCGATGTACTACGTGTACTAGTACTAGAAGTTGTGGGTGGTTCTTGTTTCCTTCGACTGTGGTCATGTTCACACGGTTCTGGCCGTTCTACTGGTCGGGTTGTTCTTGATGTTGTCTCATCTGCTTCGACTTGACCATCAACATTGCAGCAAGAGTCCTCCTCCTCCTCCTCCTCCTGCTGCCCCTCACGGTCGATGAACCTCCTTCGCTGCTGGTGGTTCTCTGTCTGCTCCTTCTCCGCTTCCAGCAAATACCGAATCAGGCCGAAGTGAATCATCGCCAGCGTTCCCCCGCCGGAAAGGCACAGCGCGGTGAGCCCGAGACTGCGTTTCCGGGCGTGCAACCACTCGAGCAGCTCCTCGTTGGCGTCCAGGGAGTGGTGGAACGCGGTTGAATAGATGTCACTACAGGAGTATGCGCGTTTATTGTTCATCGTGGTCCCAGAATGCTGCATGACGTTATTTATGGATGCTGCCGAGCCGCTACGGTGTCTGTTTCGAGTGATTCCTGTCGTTCGGAACTTATTTGATGCCGTCAGCAGCGAATCGGACTTTGCCGTGCAGGACGACCGCGGGGTCGTGGTAACATCTTGCTCCGAGGACGGGGCGCTATTACAACTGACTCCCGGAGGTAGAACCATCTCTGCACTTATTTTGCTTGAAGTTGTGCTGGTAGTTGGAGGTCCGGAGGCAGTCGTGGGGGTGGCGCCTGCAAGACTTGTTTCATCGTCCAAACTTTTCCTCGCAGGAGCTGGTGCCACATCAGCAAGTAAATCGTCCATGCTTCTAGACCTGTTTTGGTGTCTCCGCCGGAGGAGCAACTGCGTTACCGAGCTCCTTCGCCGCTCGCAGGTCGGGTCCAGGTCCGAAGCTAGAATGCGGCTGCTGCTCTCGGTCTCGTCGTGGTGCTCGGGGTGGCTGATTAGTTCGTCGGCACTGGAGGCGGACGAGGAGCTAGAGGATGTTGGCGCAAAAGAATTAATATCGCGGGCACGGTATTTTTGGACGACCTGCTGCTCGTGGTCCTCTTCCGCGAGCAGAGCATCACTGTCTAGACGATTATCTCCTTCATAATTTTGAAGATCATCAACATTGTCCTCGTCAGTGGTCAGAGCTGCGCCGTCGACACTCTTGCCATCTGTCGGAGTCTCGTTTGACGATCCTATTCTGTGCAAAAAGGTTCCCGCCTCCAGAATTGTGATGCAAGATGAACTCCGCATGCGCAACGTTTTCTATTGGTTTTTTTGGGTTTGTTCATGCTTGAATCAGGATAAGACGCTCGATCTATGGTTCTTCTGAAGTAGCTAATTTCGACTTCTACATAGCAGGCCCAAACTTGTTGATGCGCAACATTAACCAAAACTTGTTCATTTGTCTACGCAGATTTCTCATCTTGCCTCTGGAAAAATGGAACGCTTTTAATTACTCGGGATAGGTCCCCCTGCTGATTCATCTTCATCAATGTCCTCTTTTCGCCCCCTTGATGCTTTCAACATATTCGTGTAGCTTATTGCGTTCGTCTTCTGCGTCGTAACAGCAGCAGCTACTCTGCTTCTACTAACCCCGCTGACCTTCAGCTGCGTTATGTGATGCGCAATCAGCTTGTCGAGACATTGGCCCAGTAACCGCGCACACACCGTGTCGTTCCCGCCTGGTTTCCGAACGAAAAACGGCTCCAACTTGGCGCACAGGTCTTTTACCGAAGATGACCTGAGGTTCATCATTTTTTTGGACGTAGTGGTCGACGTCGCGGTCGCCGCGCTCTTATTTATGGTCCTTGTCCCGTCTGGTCGTTGCGTATGCGTTGCGGCGCCGGTGCTCGTATGAAGACCTTCTGGTAGAGTAGACCATGACGTCACCTCGTTATTTCCTTCTCCTTCTGTATCGGAGATTATAGTGCTTCCTGCTGCCGCCGCTGGTGGGTCTCCTATCGTGGTCCTCTTCGAGGACAATTGCAAGTCATCATTGTCGTATCGCAACATCTTCGGGTATCCAAGAAAAAAACTTTGTTAGTGTAAGTCTTTTGGGAAAACAGCATCACAAGTTTGACTGCAATGACAGGAAAAACTTGTTATGCGTAGCTAGGAAGGGAAAACACATGGGAAGCGAGCCGATCATGCATGTCGAGCATGACAAGTGTAACTGTTTTGCATTTTCTGCATCACAGATCTACACTTACTTACACAGTTTTTTTCTTGCATATCGGAAGCGGTGGACTACAGGACCGCATTATTTCTTCGAGCTCCGTCTCCATCACACTCCTGTGCTCGCATCGAGACTGCTCAGCTGTGCCTGTGCTAAGAGAATATGCATTGCAAAAGCATCGCACTCGTAGTAATGGTTGGCGTGCATCACAAATCCGATTTTCACAGCAAATCCGCATGGCGAATTTGTTCATCTGTCACGCTAAAAGCAAATATGTATTTACGCAAGTTGTACTAGTGCGATACTTTTGCCATGCATAGTGAAGCAGGGGCAGCTGCATTTTTGTTGATACTTCGGCCCGATTTATTTTTCACGATGCAGTTACCTGTGTCTACATGCTGTGGCTCGTTACGCTCCGGCGAAGAGCTCGCTCGCCCACTTTCGTGGTGAAGGTGATCATCCTGCGCAGCAGCAGAAGGAGCAGGAGAGATGAGGCCGACTTCCTTCATTTCCCCACGATTTCCTTCATTGATAATATCTTCACCGCGACGGTGATTTCTATTTAGCAGCAGCTTCTTCGCCCACCCCGGTAGCAGCAATTCCTGCACCACCGGCACAATTTCGACGAAAATTCTTCTATGCAGTCTCTGCACGAACCAGTAGGTCACGTCTTCCACACGAAGCATGAGAAACAGCACGGACAGAAGCAGCGAGTCCACGGCGATGAAACTTAAGTGGTACTGGAACTGCACAAACCTATGCGTTGCAAAAGTATCGCACTTGCACTTCTACGTGAAAAATGCAAAACTTACATAATTTTCCAGAAAGAGAACTACAAGTGCAGTTTGTAATGCCAGTTCAGGCAAATGAAACCGATAAAAGATTTTTTGCCTTCATGCAGTACCGCAATTGGTAGTACGACGTAGACGATACAAGAACTTTTGCAGCGGATAAAACCTGAGCAACGACAAGAGCAACCCGCTGAAGAGCCACAGAAACACCTATCAACTGCAAAAATGTCTGGGTCTGGAAGATTGCAACTTGTCATGCTGTTTTTGGACTCTTACTCTAAAAAAATTTGTATTGCATGACCAGCAAGAGGGGCGCAGTTTGTGCTACACGGACAGGGCGTGTCTCATGCGGAAGGTGCATCAGGAAGCCTTCTAAATAAATGTCTGCGATGCTACTAGGTCATGCATTGCAGGGATCATGGGTCATGAGAAATATGCATGACAAATCTTGCATTCTTCCAGACCCAGATACTTTTGCATTTGATAACACCCAGGGAAACACCACCGCCAGGATGAAACTCGTTGCGCCGGAGAGCTCCCAGTAATACCCCTATCAAATGTAAAAGTGTCTGGGTCTGGAAGATTGCCAGGTTTGTCATGCACGTTTTGCACGACGTGTGAGGTCTGTGATGCATGCCCTAGCATCACAGATTCTGTGAGATCTTTACCATGCCTTTTCCGAATGAGAAACTGCCTCTCGGCCTTCTCAAAAGTGAACAGCTTTATTGGTAATCATGCAACACAGATTTTTGTATGATTCAGATTTAGCATGACAAGCTGTACTCTTCCAGACCCAGACATTTTTACACTCGATAACCCCAGCAAGAGTTCGATAAAGTTGTTGATGCTCGCAGGTAACAGCGACACGCGGATATCCTGTGCAAAAAAGTATCGCACTCGTATTGCAATCATGCATTACAAATCTTCTTCTTAAGGTAAACCAGCATCACAAATTTTATTGCTCACGCTGAGGAAATTTGTAATGCATTTCTACGAGTGCGATACTTTTGCACAGCATAGCGGAGCTGAAAAAACAACGTCGAGCTCAGCGAGAAGTAGTATTGCGACGTGAAAAAAGTTGACCAGGAAGGGGAGGTTGCTGCGCCGAAGAAAGCTTTCTCGTTCGTTACAAAAGTCGTCGGGTCAATGTTGGCGTTGTGAAGGTTACGACCTGCTTCTATCGTCTGTCCGTGCATACAGCTGGAAACCGCAGCTGCATGCTGTTGTTCGGCACTTGCGCCGCCGTCCGTAAGTGCAGCTGCGCTTCTGCGTAGACACTCCTCGGCGACCTCTCCACATTCGCGAACTGCCCGGGCAATTAGCTCCGGAGAGCTCAGTTTGCGAGCCGCCGCGATGCAAGCCTCCATGATTATTTCGATGTTTATCTACTGCAGTAGAAATTTTTATGATACTTAATATCGTGATTAAGTATCCCGATATACGTTAAATAACGTATGATCATTCGTCCATTATCATTTCTTTCCAGGTGATTATGGAAATCAATGTATGATCTGCGCGGCCTGCTACAACCGTTGTACTGTGCCCGACAGACTCGAAGGAGCCCATAATGCTGGATCGATTTACAAAAGCCACGAAGATCATGCTGGTTTCACATCGGACCAATTGATCAAAGATGAGGTCGATCTTCCCACTCCAAATGTGATACAAATCCGGGCCTTGCCCACTCACGATTTCTACTTCGCTGTTGTAAATGGTATGTATACGTGTAGGGAGGGTCCGCAAAATCTTCAAGGTTCTTGCGTCTATTATGAAATAAGAGAACATGAACATCCACTGGAGTGGTATGAAGGCCGACGGGACTAACACTACGCTAGAACATAGTGAAGTGCTCCCGCATTTTTACAGCTCCTGCCTTCTTTTGTTGGGAAAAGAGAACTATAGCAGGTGTATGTTTTTGCGTCTAGTGCCAGAACTAGGATAGAACGTTCGTGACCTCACTACATATAAACGTTCACATTGCTCGTAGGGTTTTTTGATCTCCACTTTCTGTGTCCTGGCGAGGACAGACTCGCGATAGAAAAACCGCAGACTGCGCCAATCTCCATGTTCATGTTCTTGGCCCGTGCCTGCACACAACACGGCCTCCCACGTGGACGGTGCGGGATAAGGATTGCCATTGCTTTGCGGCAAAGAAGAATGACAGGAGCTGTTGCTGTTGGACCACTGCAACTTTGCATCCTTCAGATTTACAAGTGGTCGTATCCCGCGAGCATGACGCCGACGAGGAAAAGCGCAACCCCCAGTCCGGCGGTCGGCAGACCCACCGTGACACTGACTGCGCCTACCCTTCTGGCGATTTCGGAGGCGCAGCGGTGCTCGCCTTCGCTGAGCTTGTTCCATATTGGCTGCGCGTAAAACTCGCAGAAGCCGGTGCAGTCGAACTCGAACTCGGTGCCAGTCTGCCGGGGAAAAGTGTTTTTATACGGTTCCACGGTATGTTGTAAGCACCTTCAGCATGCGACACAAACTTTCTTTCTCTTCATGCCAACAGGGAAAAATTGCAATGCCGAGATCACCACAAGGGAAAAGAAGAACACGTGTGAAACTAGTACGTAGGGTAGGCTCCTCAACCGATCCGACATGACAGAACTTGGCTGTCTTGCTCGGCCTGCATACACTATGCGTGCAACAGTAGCCAACACTTTCTCATTTGCATAGTCCACAAGGTAGCTGTAGTAGGTTTTGGACACGCGGAAAACGCCGGGGGACGGGGTCTCCCCACCCTCTGCGTCGGCCTCCTCCGCAGCAAGCTCCGCTGCGGTCGGTGGGGGCTGTTGGATATGAAAGTGCAACAGCATGCCTCACCCTCATTCGTGATGCAAGCCGCCAAATCCACCAGTTGCTGTGAACGGGCTCTAATTCTTGCATGCAAAAGTCATAAGTAATTCCAAACGCCCAAACAGTGAATCGGAACGTTAGAATTAGTGCACAAGGACGAACTTGTCACACACAGGCTCCATAGAACGCAGGTGGTGATATGCTTGCTGCCTGGTGCTTCCAAAAAGTAAATTGCTCGCGCATGCTCTTCAAATGAGCAGGAGCAGTGCACCTGCATACTGGAACTGCTGGTCAGCGAAGCCAGGGCAGGCCTCCATGTTTTGCGTGAAGGTGGGGTCGCATTTGAGGTAGAAATCCTTGCAGCTCGTCCAGGTCTCCTGCAGCGCGGCGGAGAGCGGATCAGACCCGCAGTTTTGCACCAGATCGGTGGATACCTTCTCCGCCTGCATCGTCACGTAGGCGCCCATACATATCAGCACCGTGCCGAGAACCTGGCGCCGGGAAGTGGTTTGCATTGGGATTCGGATTTTTGAGATGGGTACTGAGCCAGGTCTTTGTGTTCATCAACAGCATCGATGTTTGTACTATTTCGGACAGAAACTGAAACACAGAGGGCAAGTACTAAAAGTACGCCCATAGAACCACCAGAGCCTCCTGAGGTTATGCTCATGGAAGTTGCAAATAGAAAATTGTGAACAATTATCTGCCGAGTGGAGAGCAGGAGCTTCCGGCTACCAGGTAGGTTCTGGTCGGTTCCGGCGACCGACCACACCTCAAACTCATTCTGGTCGGGTTCTGCAGCCGAACAAAGTCTGGCTAGGTTTGGCGACCGACCAAACTTTAGTCGGACATGGCGACCGACCAAACTTTGGCCGGATTTGGCGACCGACCAAACTTTGGCCGGATTTGGCGACCGACCAAAGTTTGGCTGGATTTGGCGACCGACCAAACTTTCTTTGACCGGATTTGGCGGCCGTCGTTTTCGCACACGCCGAACTTCGGCGCGCCCCCGAGACCGCCCTCTCCGGGAGCGCGCCTCGGATTTGGTTGCCACCCTTCTCCAGCACCCGGAGATCCCGAGGCCCCGCCGCCGGGGCACCCGTCCGGGCCCGGGCGGGGTGGTCCGATTCGCGCACCCGGAGATCCCGAGGCCCCGCCGCCGGGGCACCCGTCCGGGCCCGGGCGGGGTGGTCCGATTCGCGCACCCGGAGATCCCGAAGCCCAGCCGCCGGGGCACCCGTCCGGGCCCGGGCGGGGTGGTCCGATTCACGCACCCGGAGATCCCGGGGCCCCGCCGAAGGGGCACCCGTCCGGGCCCGGGCGGGTGGTGGTCCGATTCGCGCACCCGGAGATCCCGGGGCCCCGCCGCCGGGGCACCCGTCCGGGCCCGGACGGGTGGTCCGATTCGCGCACCCGGAGATCCCGGGGCCCCGCCGCCGGGGCACCCGTCCGGGCCCGGACGGGTGGTCCGATTCGCGCACCCGGAGATCCCGGGGGCCCGCCGCCGGGGCACCCGTCCGGGCCCGGACGGGTGGTCCGATTCGCGCACCCGGAGATCCCGGGGCCCCGCCGCCGGGGCACCCGTCCGGGCCCGGACGGGTGGTCCGATTCGCGCACCCGGAGATCCCGGGGGCCCGCCGCCGGGGCACCCGTCCGGGCCCGGACGGGTGGTCCGATTCGCGCACCCGGAGATCCCGAAGCCCAGCCGCCGGGGCACCCGTCCGGGCCCGGGCGGGGTGGTCCGATTCACGCACCCGGAGATCCCGAGGCCCGGCCGCCGGGGCACCCGTCCGGGCCCGAACGGGTGGTCCGATTCGCGCACCCGGAGAGCCCGAGGCCCCGCCGCCGGGGCACCCGTCCGGGCCCGGACGGGTGGTCCGATTCGCGCACCCGGGCCGCGCAAGGGGTGGCGCGTGCAACTACCCCCAGCCGTGTGCGGACAAAATCCACAACCACCAAAATCTTGGGTCCACGCTGTGCGACATTTGCAGTCGGACGCTCGGACAAGAAATGTTCGAGATCTGTGTCGGTCACGAATCAACAACTAAGCCAGCCAGGGAGTACGTAACTATTATCCATACATACTACACAACCATTATCCTGCCGCGATTGTGCACTTTCCACGACGGTATGCTTAGCCAATGACATAATTCTTTTGCAGTAAAAATGCAATTACGCGTGGCTGTTGTACAAGTCGCAATTTTTTCACCAATATAGTTGGGGCTGAGTCCGTTACGGTTCGTTCCGGTTCGTTTCACCGTAACGAACGAACTTTCGTTCGTTCGTTACGGTTCGTTATGGTTCGTTTCACCGTAACGAACGAACGAGCGAGTCCGTTTGTGTCATCAGAACGAACAAACGAACGAACGAACGAACGAACGCACTGGCTTTGCCATGCAAACGAACGAACGAACGAACGAACGAACGAACGAACGAATGCGCTTTCGTTCGTTCGTTCGTTCGTTTCACCGTAACGAACGAACGAACGAAGTGGCTTCGCAGGTTCGCTAACGACCAAACGAACGAACGAACGCAATTTCGTGAGCTCGTTATGGTTCGTTTCACCGTAACGAACGAACGAACGAACAAGTCCGGTTCAGGCAGCCACGCAAACGAACGAACGAACGAACGAACGAACGAAGGGGTTTGCGTTCGTTCGTTCGTTCGTTATGGTTCGTTTCACCGTAACGAACGAACGAACGAAGTGGGTTCGCGGGTCCGCTAACGACCAAACGAACGAACGAACCGACTTTCGTGAGCTCGTTATGGTTCGTTTCCCCGTAACGAACGAACGAACGAACGAACGCGCCAAACAGTATGGCAATAGAACGAGCGCGTGAGGCAGAGCAAAAGCTGAAAGGAACAAAATGCAGAGCACCGTCGGGGGGAATATTCCGCGCGACGGTGCTCTGCATTTTGCGTCAGCGTGATTCACGAGAGAGACCCTGAGACCCTGAACAGAACGCGATCTGCCCACCCGTGCCAGACACGGAAAAAACGAAAATCGCAAAGGACGAAATGAAGGCCCCAGCGATCACGAAGGAGGAAGTCCGCGCTGCCTGGCTGCAGGGCACATCGGGGCGCCACCCCAGCGGCTCGACATCCACTAACCGTGCGCCAAGAAAAGGCAGCGACCGTGACGCACCCAGGGGCCGCCCGCGTGGAGGACACGCACGCAGGATTTTTGGCCCCCGCGCTGCCGAGCCGGACCGGCTCACTCGGATGCACCGGGCTCCAGCTAGAAGAACACGAGCAAGTGTACGACCTCGCCGTAATCGGACGGACGTCCAGGGCTCCGCCCGGACGCGCCGCTTGGCCCGCAGAGACGAGCATAGCGCCGCATTTCTCTTTGACGAACAACCGCCTGCCGGAAGATCTCACCGGACTTGCTCGCTAAGGAGAAAAGCACAAAGCCAGCGCCGGATGTTCTTCGCCGTCTCGCGGAAAGACGACGAGGCAGTTTTCACCTTTTGCAGTGTTCACGCACGGACGTCTTTTTCCCAAAATCAGATTCGTTCGTTACGGCGTTACGGCTCGTGAGGAGCTCGTTCGTTACGGTGAAACGAACCGTAACGAACGAACGGCAGCTCGTTCGTTACGGTGAAACGAACCATAACGAACCGTAACGAACGAACGAAAATTCGTTCGTTACGGTGAAACGAACCGGAACGAACCGTAACGGACTCAGCCCCAACTATACTCTTTTTCACCTACAAAATTCAGCATACCGTCCTGTTTCGAATAATCAAAAATCGTTTTGGTACGGGAAAATTCATGCATAAAATCAAACAACTACTTGATGAAAAAAAATAAAATAAAATCCTGGTGGCACATGAAGTTCTTGGTACTAAGGGTAAAGCTTTAATACCACAAATAGCATGATGCATCCCTTTCGCGCCGCCTGTGGTCGCACGTGGAAGCATTGGAAGTAGTTGACCCCGATGTTCATGGACAGCAGACAGATCGGGACGGACAGGTTGACGTACTGCGGCACTTTCCCCAGCCAATAGACCACGTGTATGTCCTTCGAGTACACGACGTAGCAGACCAGCGGCCACACGGAAAAAATCACGTTCAGAAACAGCAGGAAAAACTGCAGGCGGCCCGCGCCCTTGTGCGCCCCAAACCCAAAGTAGTTGAACACGCCATCGCACACACGGTTGATGATGCGCGCCATGATGACTGTTTGTCTAGTACCAGTACGGAGATGTAGTCCTTGTTGTTCACGTGCGAAATTAGGTTCGGGCGGAAGATTCGTGTCTCTCTACCCGTGAGACCCGGGGCTCCAAAGAGAATTCGCTACAAAGAGGAGAACCAAGATGTTGATAATCTCCTCGTCCACGACGTTGCGCGGTCGCTCTACTTGTTACAACCCTTCAACTTCTTTATTTGACGCTTGTTCGTCCACGCTGTTGCTGCGTTTCATCTTGCTCCTCCTGCCCCGTCCAGCGAGAGGACCATCTGGTTTTAGGTTTTGCTGTGCGCCCCTTCATCTCTACCATGAGTAGCTGCTGTGTCTCGTCGACGACGGTGTAGTTAAGCAGGAGCTCCTTGCCGCGCGTACAGAACAAGTGCCTCATCTTTTGTGCTTGTGCTTCTCTTTCACTTTCTGTCAAGTTAGAGTAAGTAAATAGATGAAGTTACAACTGCGCTCCTTGCGATCTCTCATGAAGAAATCATACCTCTACTCGCAAAAATTCAACACGTCAGCTCGCTCACTTTTGAGAACTTTCCAGTGAGACAATGGAAATGAAACCTTGACCTTCTCCATTTTTTCTCTACAAAGTGCAGCCCTCAAAACTGGAAACCATGAGTTTCACTATCATGGGACAAGCGGAAGCCTCGTCAGAGAGGACGAAAAAAGCAGTCGTGAATCATGGCACGCTGGCTTTTAACACGACGACGACATGCACGGTTATTACAACAACACAGATGATGAAGAACAATACTGTAGTGCCTTTCCGGCAGTCTCAGACCACTGTCATTGCGGCAGCGGCGGTGGTGGACCAATATTCTTTTTCCTTTGAATTTTTTCTTATACTTGTAGTTTACTTTTTCTTCTACTTCACACAAAAACCGAAGCCCTACTTTGGCCGGTGTTGGTTGGTGTTCTACTGATGTGCTGTACTTCATCATCCTGTTCATGAGTCAAAGCGTCACTGTATCTATGAGATGATTTATTTGGAAAGAAGACGAATACTCTTGACAGTACGTGAAAGATGCACAACATCCCCTCCTGCCAGATCCTTCCTGCTCCCTCTCTTCACGGCATCTGGTTGAGCGGGTATGCTTTTAGGTTTTTCCCGCCCAGCGGGTGGTCCTTCCCCCCGGTAAGTTTGTCCAGACAGTTATTGCAGATCCGATTGTACGCGTACATCTTGTTCGAATACTTCAAATTCCGCACCACCAGGTCCGCCGTCGCACTGGTGCAGGCGTCGCACCTTTGCACAAACACGCGGGTCTTTGCCACCACCCGGGGGTAGGACAAACCTGACGAAAAGGAGCCGTCGTGCACCCGGCTGCCCAGGTCGAACACCTTCTGTGGGTCTTCGTGCTCGTTCGGGTGGTGGAGCGAGTCGGGTTTGAACCAGGTCACGTTCTCGACGACGACGTTGTGGGGGTACTTTTCCGTGTTGCTGCCGAAAAGTAGTGTGTTCAAACTGCCAATCTCGAGGAGGGGGTTCATCGTGCTCATCTTCGTGTAGTCTTGGTTCTCTTCTGAAGAACTACTGCTCCTGGTTGAGGAAGAAGAAGACGAAGATACTGATGTTGTTGACCACAAGTCCCGAAACCGGAACGCAGATTGCGGCTTTTTCACTATTTTTGCATCTTCTTCCCGGGGGCTCGTCGGAGGACCACTTCTCGGGTTCAACGTCTTTTTTTGTTTTGCGGTGGACGCTGTGGATTTGTTGTCGCTTGTTTCCATTTCTTCGACGCAGCTGTGCTCATTGATGTTCGCGGTCGTGGAGGTGTTCCACTTCTCGGGTTCCTCTACTTGTTTTTGATTCATGTCCTCGCATGGCATTATTTCCTCTTCATCGTCCTTGGCAAGATCATCTTCAACTAAGTCCGCAATCGCTAACATTTCCTCCTTATTCATTTTCTTCTTCCCAAATTTCAGATCCAACCACTCGTCCACACGGTCCACAAACTCCCCGCAAGAACTGTTGGTGGTCCACCTGGCACAAGTATCACCTCCCTCTGCTTTTTCTTCTTCTTCGTGCTGCCCACTTCTTCTCGTATTAATCCTTCTCGAGACTACCTCAAATCCCCGAAACTGCGGAAACGGCGCCACGTACAGGGTGTCTTGACACGCCAGAATGCACTCTACCCCTGAGGGAAAAGTCGAGATCACGCCGGACTGGGGTGTCATGCGGTGCAGCTGATCCAGCAAAAACAGGGAAAAATCGGACAGCAACGTGGATCCCAGCACGTCGCAGACCAACACGCACTTCTCCAAAACTTTCCCAATCGGCTCGACGGGGCAAGTGGTGGATGATGAACCACCAGTACCGCCACCGGCTTTATTTCCTATGTGCTCGTCCACCTTGCTCTCGGCGCGACGGTCGAAGATGGAGATGCGGAGGAGGATGTCCTGCTGTTCATCTTGTTTGCACTCGTTCTCTTCTTGCAGCCGCCTCTTTCTTTCAAACCACTCTTTCTCTTCCGCCAAAACTTTCTGAAGTGGCAAAAAACGCGACTGCTGCTTGAGCTTGCTGTCTTGGAGCATTTTTATCTCCTCGTTGGCTAGATCTTGATCTTCAAAATGATTATGCGGTGGTTCTGCTGGTTCCACATCTGCTTCGACGAGGGCTTGTTGAAGATCTTCACGCTCTTTAGAAGTGTCCACCACAGTTTTATCTACTTCTTGTTCTTGCGTGGCAGCTACCAGGTCGAAAGTTTGCTGGTCATCATCTTCTCCTACTTCCTGGTCGCGGCCTGTCATCTTCTTTCTCCTCTTTGTCAATGGAGAAGAAGAGCGACCAGCAGCAGCAGACGCTGTATCAGCACCTCCTCCTCGACGTCCACGCAGTGGTCCACCTTCTTCAACTTCGCTTTCCTTGCTGGAAGAAAAAACTTCTGCTGGTTGTTCTTGTTGGGGCCCAACATCTATTTTTTCCCGTTCATCGTTTTCTTCAACTTCATCCAGTACCCCCTGCGGCTCCATCTCCATATCGAAGTCTTTGTCTTGTGCGTTGAGCGAGAGATGGTCTTGGTCCTCCACCTCATCATCCACATGATGTTCAGGGTAGTTGTAGTTCATCTCGCCTGCTCCTCCGACAAGCAGAGGCCTATTTTCGTCGTCGTCCTCCTCGTCATCTTCAAACAACGCATCCAACTCATCTTTCATCGGTTTAGTACCATTCTGTTGGTGTTCAGCATGATCTTGACCCATCGCCAGGAGAGACGACCCGGCAGGAGTTGTGCCATGATCTGAGTAGGAGTTCATATCCTGGTGCCCGCCATCATCAAAACGACCGAGCGCATGTTGATCCTCATCATCATCGTCCTCCTCCTCCTCCTCCTCCTCCCGCATTAGCAAGCTTTTTTCCCGCATCAACTTGAATTGCTGCCGCTCCGTGAACTTCGCAACATGCGGGCACTGAACCTGATGGATGGGCCTCTTCATTTGCGATCCCGCCGAGCCCCGCGGGATGACCTTTAGACAAGGGTTGAACAAAAGCGCGGAATTATAGCAAGCGGATTTGTAGTGCTGAAACCGCTCCTTTCGCCTCTCGTAGCTGAATTCAAGTAAGCTTGTTTCGGGAACCGGGAGGCTTTCGAGCTCCTGGACGATTTCATCTCGCCCTTGCATCATTCGCTCGGCGTCAAGACGTCTGTTCTTGTTTTCTTCCGACGTCGTTCCGATTTTATTTCGTGCTCCAGGTCGTCGTGGTCCTTCGAGGGAATTATAGAAGGAAGGCAGCAGATGCGCGTTTTTCCTACGTAGTTGTAGGAAGAAGTCAATGTCGTCGGTTAACGTCTCAAATTGCAGCCCGCTCACGTCTGCAGATGGCGGGCACGAATCGCTCACCGGATCTTCGAGCAGCTGTGTCTCGCTGTATTTCTCGTGGTAGGTTTTGTGTAAGTGGAACAGGAACTTTTGCTCTTTGATCAACAGTTTTTGTTCGTCTACCTGGTTCATCTGCTTGCGGTTCGTCCTTCTTCCACCACTTCTTTGCCTTTGGGAGGAACTGCTGCCGTTTTGTTCTTCTTCTTGATCTTCTTCTCCTACAATTCCAAACAGCAGTTCCAGTCCTCGCCTCGTTTTTTCCGAAGAAAGAACGAAGTCGTGGAGAAGGTGGTTTGGAGCTTCCTCGTCAGGAGCAGAAGAGGATCTACTCCTCGTCCCCGCGGCCCCGCTACCGTAGAAGTTCTCGCACAACCATTTCCAACCCGCGGTTGCAATACTGCGGAGTAGAGCCGGTTGCGGTTCTTGTTGGTCGCTTGATGCGCTTTTAAGATTTTTTACTGGTTCTTCTTCCTGCTGCAGCAGCATTTCATCCGCAAGCTGGTCCAGTGCGTCCGAGAAAACAAAAGTCGCCAGAATGCCGTCTTCGTGCTGTTGTAAATCTTCGGCAAACGTGTGCAGGTTCACGGTTTTTTTGCGATGCAGCTGCACCGTCTGGTTTACATTGCGCTGCCGGTCCAGCTCCTCTTGCAGGTCCTCGGCTTCATCTTGCAGGTCCTTGGGGGGGAAGAGGAAATTCTTGGACGAGGCTGATTCTAGGTCGTGGAGATGTAATTGCTCATCATCATCATCATCATCATCCTCATCTTCTTCTTCATCTTCGCGGTTCTTTGACATAACTCTTGGGGTGGACGACAGGCAAGATGATGGACTAGATGTTGACCGCGGGCGCCGTCGTGCTGCGCCGGTGGAGTTGTTGTGTTCTTCATCCGAAGAGGACACGTTCTCCTCGGTGGTGTCCAACACATCTTCGTCGTCTGTGAACAAAAAGTTGTCGTCCACCACTTTTTGTTTACCGTCCTCTTGGTCTTGCGCCCCCGCTACGCCGTCGTGGTTTATTTGGCTCATTTTAGGTTATTTGATATCATCTTTATCCACGCGGAGGCTGATGCTGTTTCTAGTAGAACGGAATGGGGATAAGTTTCGAAAAGAGAGGAGAAGAAAAAAGTTCGAAAAACACCTGCTGCTGCTGTTGATAGATTTAGACTCTTCTATCTCCTGGCCTACAATAACTCTAGCTTGTTCGTCCAATACTTCGTTGTTCATGATACGTACGTTCCTGTTACACTCCTCGTCCCTGTGGTTTGCGTTTCACGCGAAGAAGATAAAAAAGCTTTGCTTGGAAAATAAATCAAAATCCGTATATAATTAGTGTAAGTAATAGGCACAATAAAGACCGACAAATCAATCAAGATTAAGTAGATCACGAGCGGGTGGATCTTGATGTCGATTTTTTTCGCAAGAGCGGGTGGATCATGAGCGGGTGGACCATGTATTTTCGCAACATTTTGTTTTCTTGGATCGCGATCGGTTTTTATTGAAAGTACTTTCTGTATCACCAGCAGAGCGATCGGATCACACGGAAACGGATCGATTTTCAATGATCTTGTGGCACTTCTAGGTTCACCGATGGCGATGATCTCGATAATGCACAGACACAGTCCTCCCATATGCCTGGCGCGTGATCTCATCCTCGTTCCAAATACCTCACTTCCAGAACCGATTGAGTTGGAACACCATTAAGTTTTTCATGAGCGGCATCGCAAGGCAGTTGCCAAAAAAGCAGAAGCAAGAACTTCTGCCGTGACAAGAACGCCGTCGAACGCAATAGAAATAGACAAGGAGGAAAAAAAGCGAAAAAAAAAGAGAAATGTCAAGATTTTTCTTGTCTTGTAGGATGAGGTCCTATCCTAGACAGCGCCGCGCGGGGTTGATGTAAAAACAGGTCCTGTGCTTCAACAAGACCGGTAAAAATCCACATAGTATTCTTAGTGTACTTTGATTCTCCTCACAAGTATGATCTATTAGGCAGGTAAAAAATCTTTCAGGGGTACTACTGGTGTCGTATTTTACGAAGATGAAAATGGTGACTTTAGTACTCCATCTTGCTCGGGAGCAGGCACGACGAGCAGCCGCGCATGTAGATAGAATCCACCGACTCCTAACTTCTGCGCCGCTCGTCTCTTGTTTGAGAAGTCGTCGTCCGCAAGATGAAGTGTCACCATTCTCGAGGTTTTTTGGGCGGTGCGGGGTTGTGGTTCTTGTGAAGTTGTGAGTTTCTAGAATCTGAAAAAGGGTTGTGATTTTGTTACGTCACCGTCTGCGAAGATCAGACTTGCTGAAAAATGCTGTAGCCGCCAAACCACGACCCCCCGTGGGGAGGAGGGATATTAGCTTTGCGACCTTCATCGAATTGCTTTTTCGGGTTTTGCTTGATTATGTTGATGTGATTTATTCGTTAGAAAAAAAAAAGGTCAAAATAGTAAATAAAAAGGTGTCAAATAGTAAATAAAAAAGGCGTCAGATAGTAAATAAAAAGGCGTCAAATCAAAAATGCTGGTACGAACGACTACTTACCACAAGAACTTCTGTGCGCGACAGACAGTACTTCAATTAATTTTGTTTGTTACAAAGTACTTTTCAGTCCTCAACACAGCCGTGTTCTTGCTGTCGATGCAAAGAACTGCTCACTTCTCATCGTCGGAGTCCTTTCCGCTCGTTGCTCCCCCATCCGTCGCACCGCCGTTATTTCCCTTGGACTTTTTCTTCTTCCCCGCCGTCTTTGGTTTTTTCTTCGGCGTTATCAACTGTAAAAATGTCTGGGTCTGGAAGACTCATGCTGTTTTTGCATGACACAGAAAGTCTGGCATGGAAGCTCTAGCATCACAGGTTTCGAAAAGCGTTTGCGATGCCGAATCCGCATGACAAATCCCCCATTTTGGTGACAGAAAGTGGAAACTTTTTGCTGCCTATGCATGAGAGATTTTTCTGTGATCTGAAATGCGCATCACAAGTTTGTATTCTCCAGACCCAGACATATTTGCATTTGATAGGCGTTCCTCCTGGTGATTTTTTCTTCCCAGCTGGCGACTTCTTTGGTGAGGCAACTACAGCTATGCATTGCAAATATGTCTGGGTCTGGAAACTTGTAATGCTAAAAGTGAATGGTAGACGCACTGCAATACGCAGCTATGGTATGCATGACAAATTTCTTGGCTCCCATTTCTTACGTATTCCGCATGACAAACTGCGTTTTTGCATGACAGGTAAGTAGAGGGCCTTTTCGTGCCTATGCAACACAGATTAATATCGTCGAGTCATGCCAGACAAGAATGACAAGCTTGCATTCCTCCAAACCCAGACATTTTTGCATTTGATAACTGCTGCTCCTGTTTGTCCGCCCGCGGGTACGGAGTCGATGGTGAGATCCAGTAAATCGTTGGTTCCCTCGTTCCCCGTGTCGGACTCTCGTATGAGTTTTTGCAGATTCACGGGCATTATCAGCTGCAAAAATGTCTGGGTCTGGATGGTTGGAACTTGTAATGCTAGCTTGCCAAACCTAGAAAATCTGTGTTGCATAACCAACAAAAGTCGCAGCCTTTTTTGCACATGCAAAAACGCAGTTTCTCATGCGGATCGCCTATGAGAGAGCGTTCTGGAAAGTTGTCACGCTGGGCTGCAGTCGGAACTGTTTCCATCATCCACATTTTAGCATCACAGGTTTCCAGACATTTTTGCATTTGATAAGCATCACCGGCGGCCCGGCGTCCTTCAGGTCTTTGATCAGCTCTTTCAGTTCCGTCATCTCCTTGCGCATACTCTCCAGCTCCTGCCGCATCAAGTTTCGGTCCGACTGCGCCTTCTGCCGCTCCGCGGCCAGGTCCGCGTCCTGCTTGTCCTGGAACTGCTTCTCGTCCGCCCGCGCCTCGCGGAACTCCGCCACGAACCGCCCCTGCTGCGACTGAAGCATGGTCGATTTCAGCAACTTGGATTTCTCCGCCGGGTCGCAGGCGGAATATGCATTGCAAAAGTATCGCACTCGCATAAATGCATTACAAATTTCCTCAGCATGAGAAATAAAATTTGTAATGTGGATTTCGATTTACCTTAAGTAGAACAAGACTTGTAATGCATGATTGCAATACAAGTACGATACTTTTGCACAGGATACGGAACGGATCAGCGCGATGTTGTGCGGCGCGTGCATCTATCAAATGCAAAAGTGTCTGGGTCTGGAAGATTGCGAGACTTGTCATGCTTCTCTGGGATGACCAAAAAGTTTCTGATGCGCGCTGTCCAAGAAGAGACCCTTTCGTCTGTCATGCAAAAACGCAGTTTGTCATGCGAAAAACGCAACTACGCAACGAAGCGCAGACATTTCTCATGCACATGCTTGGCTGGGCATTACAGAGCATTCACTATTCCCAACACAGCATTACAAGTTTCGGTTGTTAGACCCAGATATATTTGCATTTGATAGCATCACGGAGGAGACGAGCTCCATGTACGTGGTGGCCAACTCGAAGTGGTCCAAACCGCCGCTACCGTCGATATCCAGGGCCTCGAAGAAACCCGTGGCGTCGGCCGCGTTCAGGTGCAGCTTCTCGAACAGTAGCCTGAGGGTTTTGAAGTAATAAATTTGACATGATTTTTTGGTGATTAATTGATCGTGTGAGCAATAGATACTAGTAGTACTACTAACCTTTTACTAGGGTTCTTGTACTATAAGCTAAAAGTAGTAGGGCATCGATCGGTAAAGAAAAATTTCAATATCCAAATCCATATCGTACAAAAAATGTATGAAAAAGAACCTCAACGCCCGGTTTTTGTGCCAGTTTTCGATGAAGTATTCCTTCGTCGTCTGTTCCTCCTCTCCCGGAAAGTCCAACAAATCCGCAATTTCCTGCGTCTTCAGGTCGATTTCCGTGTTGGTCTGCACCAGGACCTTATCCAGGAAAAAAAGTGTGTAAGTGTAACTTTCTTTGAGGAACAGCATCACAAATTTGCTCTACATGACACAGAAAACCTGTCATGCGTGGCTTGTAAGGGAAAACACACACGAAGAGAGGACTTCATGGCTGTCTGGCATGACAGGTGTAACGCTGTTGCATGTTCTGCAACACAAATTTACACTTACACAGTTTTTTTCTTGCATAGACCTGCTGTGCCCGAGCGGTCTCCAAGACGGTGACCGTGATCAGGTTCATGAGCGAGAAGGCCGAGATGGTATGCATTGCAAATATGTCTGGGTCTGTGATGCAAGAAAGGGATAGGGAATAGTGAACTCACTATAATGTTGCGCTGCCAAGCATGACAAGTTTTTTTCATGGTTCTGAGTTGTTGCTTACACCGCATGAGAAACTGCGTTTTTGCATGACAGAGAGTGGGAGGAGGAGCTGTTCGCGACCAGCTCAGAGTCATGCCAGACTAGCATGACAACTCTCGCAATCTCCCAGACCCAGACACTTTTGCATTTGATAGATGGAGATGAAGAACAAAAACCAGAAGTAGGTCCACGTGTACTCGGAGAATAAAGGTTTGGTACTGGTCGTCCACCCGTCTAATGTCATGATGGAGAACAGCGTAATCAAGGCTTCGGAGGTATCCTGTGTAAAAACGTCCCCACACCAGAGTGGGCACGGGAGATCTGCTAGACAAATCAACCAGCTTTGGTTGTTTCGCATGACAAATTTGTCCTTGTAGTGTAGTCCTGTTTAGGTAGTTCCGTAGCATCACAGATCTAGCACGTCATTCTGATTCTAGCATCACAAATCCCGAAACACGACTAGAAAATGGCTCTCATGGGGCTCCGCATGAGAAACTTTTTTGGCATGCAGATTTGCATGACAACTCTGGGGTGGGGACATTTTTGCTCAGGATAGGAAGTCGTGTAAAAGTCCTGCTGCGCGGTGACCACCTCCGGACTATCGCCCATCGACGCGCGGCCGATGAGCACGATGGAGAAGATCGCGAACAGGAAAATCACCACCAGGATGAAGCCCACCGCCCAGGCGAGCGGGGTCAAGGAGAAAAAGAAGAGCTCCACGACGTGCCAGAGTTGCTCAAACATGGTCAGCACGCGGAGGACACGGAGCGCACGGAGGGCGCGCATGGACCGGACCAGGTTGAGCACCGGGGAGTTACTGGTGGAGAGCTGCATGAACGTCCCCGCGGCTATCGGCATGATGATCTCGGAAATCAACCCGGTGAAGACGACCACGACATCTAGTATGTAGGTGAGCTCGGAAAACATCAAACGCCACCCAAAAGCCGTCACGCGCGCAGCTAACTCACCGGTAAAGATCGCCAGGAAGAAAAGATCCGTTACCTGTGATGATGTCCAGATTGGTTTGTTGATACGCTCCGATCGATTTTGTGTAGTCTAGCGATAGTGGTACTTAGATGAAAAACAAAAGGCGTATACAAGTTGTGCAGTGATAGGTCGTTGCATTAGGGTTTAAGCAGGTCACTGCCTAGTAGAGTGGTTTGTTCAACAGAAGTAGAGGACTCTACGTACAAAATAGCGAAGTGAACGTTTATAGTGACCGACATCGACTCATGTTCAAATGATCATAAATGGGTTCTTGCAAAGAATCTCGTGTCGCAGCAGGAATGAATCTTCTACTTCTTGTTGAACTTCATCTTCACTATGCACTGCAAGGTCAAAGATGTTATGGTTATCCTCATTCAAGTAACATCAAGTGTAGTTTATCTATACCAGAATTAGTATCTGTATATCGTCGCTTTCAACGTCCTTCTCCGACAATTGATATTCGAAGCCCATGAACAGCACGTTGAGCGCGATGGCCAGGCCGATAGAGCCGTCGAACCCCTTGGTGGTAACAAATCTCTGGATGGGGGTCATGCTGGCCCGGGCGTCGGGGTCCCGCATCTTCTTTTTCCTCTCGATCGGGTTGGGTTTCTGCAAGGGCGGCAGCGCCTTCAAGTGCGCCATCTTTTCCTCCCGGAGCCTCTTCGCCTTTTCCTTCACTTTGGCCGCGGTTTTTTTGGCCATCATCAGCTGTGTCATGGACAATCCCCCCGTTCCGCTCTTTGGCTTGCCGCCCAGCAGCCCGCCGAGCCCCGCGCCCGGCGTTTTCGGCGCCGCGCCGTTCGCCGCATCTCCTGCTGGTCCTCCGGCTTTTCCGCCCAGCAGTCCGCCGAGCCCCGCGCCGGGGGATTTTGCTTTTCCTAAGCCGCCAAGTAGGGGGCTCGAAGCCGCTTTGGGTGTCGTGGTACCATTATCTTCTCCACCCGCGGCGGGCGCTGTAGCTGCGTCGCCGTTGGCAGCAGCTCCTGCCTCGGGCGAAATAGCCGTAGCCTTCTTACCGAACAGACCGCCCAGACCCTTGGGTTTGGGTGTATTAGTTGTTATCCTGAGTAAAAACGTACCCACACCAGAGTTGTAATGCAGATTTGCAAAGACAGGAAGACTTGTAATGCGCATCCCCATGAGAGCCATTTCCAATCGTGTTTTGGAATTTGTGATGCTGTGAACAGGATGAGCAGATGAATCTGTGACGCGGCTGCACTTGCTAACCTGCACTACACTGCATAGTGCATTTTGTCATGCGCGACTCACAAAACTCCTAGGTTTGTGTTGCAAAATCCTCATCCTGACTCTGGTGTGGGTACGTTTTTACTCAGGATAGTTGTTGAGCTATCCGCACTGGCTGTTCCGTTATCTCCCCCTTTAGTATCCGCCACATCGAACGTGACTTTGCTGGCTGCCTTATTCTCCACCACGCCTGCGGGACTCGTTTCCGGGGTCGCCAAGGCCGCGGGCGCTGCCTTTTTCCCGAGTAAACCACCCAGCCCCTTTGGTTTTACCGCAGCTCCGTCTCCTGCTGCAGGTGCTGCGGCCGCTTTTGGTGCAGCAGCAGCAGCAGCAGTCTCTGCTGCTGTTGTACCAGCTTCTGTTCCTGCTGCAGCCTTTGCCTTCATTAAACCGAACCCGGCCGGCGCGGTTTTCGCCGCTTTCGGAACAACCGCTGGTGCAGCAGCAGCCTCACCTCCTCCTGCTTTTGTAGCGGCTTCCTTCTCGGCGGCCTCCGCCTTGGCCTTGGCTTCGGCCGCGGAGCCCTCGAAGGGACCGGCCTTTTCCGCCGCCGCCTTGAAACTCGCAGCGGAAAATTTCAGCGGCATGCGGTGGAAGCCCTCGGTGTGCGTGCTGGAAAAGCTAACGCCGTTCTTGCTGGATTTCGGCCGCGTAGTTGTTACCATGTAGTCCTGGAACGCGGTAAACTGGAATATTTCTTGCTGGTGTGGTGCACTAGGATCTTCGTGTGCGGCTGCTGCGTCGTTGTAAAATAAATCGCTCTCATTCACTATTGTTCCTGGATAAAAATTGCGGCTATAATCGCAATTAGGGGCGGTCTCTACAACTTCGTGCGGAGGTGGGATAATTCCACCAATGTCTACCACGTGAGAGGAGGACGCGGAATTACCACTATTTGCCGTCCTGCTTCCGGTCCCGAAGTTTGCTATGGCGCCGATCAACGAGTGATCAAAATTGTACTGCTCTAGCTCCAGGTCCTGGTTGATCGTAGAAGTTGCCCTCTTGTTCACTGCGTAGCAGGTAGTATTATATCCTGGACCTGTTGTCGTTCCTTGACTCCGGTCACTTCCGCTCGTGCCTGGGGCACTTTGTAGTTGTGGCCCCTCCTGTAGCTGTCCTGCTCCATTGGCGTTGTTGATATTATATGTGTGGTTGGTCGTGCGGCCTGCAGTGCCCGTGCTGTGTGGGTGTTGACCGGCTCCATTTGAAGTCCTATTGTAGACTACCTCTTTCCCATTGTCCTGAAACAAGTGAGAGGAAGGATCCCTATCGCCAGCACCGCCAGAGGACGAGCTGGTGGTGCCCTGCCGCCGCATATTTTCGCTCCGCTCTACTTTCTGATGTGTAGTTGTCCTCTATAGCAAAGCTGCAGGTCGTCCTCGTCGTGGAGTCTTGCTTCAACACTCGTTTTGGCGTGTCGAAGTTTTTAAAACGGTGTCGTGCATGTCGAAACTACATCATCTGATGATGTGTACGCAAAATTTCTAACAATCATATTGTACAAGAGCTTTGAAAGTAAATCGCTAGAAAAAATCATACGTATAAGAAGATGTAGAAGGAGTGATGTGTTGGGTTTTACTTTTGAAGGTGGGTTGAGGTCCTGAAACATCAAGAATGGCAAGATTAGAAGCAATCGCAAGAAGTTAGTTGTAGCAAACCACCACGAGTTGTAGTTGTGGACGATTTTCGCACGCGAAGTAACAAACGACGACGAGACCGACAGGAGGAGGAGAGAAAATTAATATTGAATTCACGGACGAATAGCCAATAAATTCCGATGATTCTTGGACGAGGGAGAAGTGTTCTGGCAGAAGTGGACGATAATCTATATAAATCTACCCTAATCAATAACCGACATAGCACCTCTGCAGCGCTAGTACAGGACGAGGACCGAAGACTTTTTTCGATGGAGCCTATGCATGACAAATCTTCTCTCTCCTGTTTCCAGCATTACAAATTCCAAAACACGATCGGGAATTATGCCTCTGATGGAGATGCGCATTACAAATCTTCCTCTGATCGCAAATCTGCATGACAACTCTGGGGTGGGGACATTTCTACTCAGGATAGCAGATGCAGAAATACTGCACGGCGGGGTAGCTGAACGTGGCTCCGAACAGAAAGACCACTATCAAATGCAAAAATGTCTGGGTCTGGAAGATTTGGGGATTTTGTCATGCAAATTGTACATGGCCTCCGATGCCTGTGATGCATTCTCTAGCATCACAGTATCTGGCCTCCGAGCGCTAGTACAGGACGAGGACCGAAGGTTTTTTTCGATGGAGCCTATGCATGACAAATCTTCTATGTTCAAGTTCTTTCTCAAAAATGAAACCGAAAACACATTTTGTTCCGATCGGTGGCTGTACTATCATGTCAGCATTTAGATTTGTGTGCACGGCACGAGTAGTTCTGTTCACCGATGAGGTTTTAATAATTCATTCTCTTTTTTCTGTCATGCCAAAGCGCAGGAACAAAACGCCACATTGTGTCACCGTCAGATGAAGGAAATATTCTTTAATAATTGGTCCCGGCAACAAGATGATTTTTTTTTCTTTCTGTGCAATGCCAATGCTGCTATCCTTCTACGATGAATCGACCATCCAACGTCACGACAAGAACTTTCGTGCAGGAGCTTCTATCTATGCCAAAGTGCCATCACCACTACTTTATACTACCAGAACCAGATAATTGATATGATCATGATGTCCTACTTGTAGTGCGAGAATGATATGCGAGGAAAAGGAAAACAACAAGGCTGCGGCGGTGTTAGTGTAGTGAATCTCCATGGAGAAGATCATAATTACTACAATTAGCTGCAAGAAAAGCAAAGGCTGCCGCAGTTGGCGTCCTCGTCACCGTAGTTGCGTCGAAATTTACAACTTTTACACAAGAAAACCACGAGGCCAGCACAACGTTTGTCGATTTGCTCATCATGTTGATCGTCTCGGTCTCACTGGAATCAAACTCTAGCAAAGCAAGGCAGAAACGTTGTTTTTTTTCGGTCAGCGTTTTACTGTACTGTGGTAGCTAGCAGTGATCACTAGACTAGTTGTGTGATGAATAATTCAGCTTAGTTTTAAGTTCTAGTTTTCACGCCCCGGCTAGGCGGTTCTCATCTCTGTAACTGTAGAAACAAATTTACACTCTGCTGTAGTACAGACGTCGCCCGAATTAAATAAAATCAAAAATGTCTACGTCAACAAGGTAAGTTGTAAGGTAGCTTCACCACGACCCCCTAAAAGCTCGCCCCGGCACCGCGGCCACTCGAAGTCACCCCAGCGTCATGCACTTTTATGTCCATAGTATTTTCCCCACTGCCACTGGCTCGCGCCGTGTGAAGCGCAAAAAGTAAAAGTTTGCAGCTGGAGTCACTCGACTCGCCTCAGTGTCAGTTGTTGCAGGTTTCGCATCATGACAAGTTTTTTCATCCCTTTATGAAATTCAACTTTGATGCACTTTTACGCATGGCCGACATTCTTGTATGGCAAAAATGTTGCGGCCCATGTCCATGAGCGACCCAGTGACGAACTTTACACTTTTCTCATTTGATACGTCGTTCCCGTCGGCGGTTCACTTGGAATATCTCCCACCTGATACACCTGATCTATCAACAGAAAAAAACTGTGTGAAACATTGTTTGTGACTTTGTGTTGCAGGAGACGATGCAAGACAGCTCTTAGCGTTGTCATGCCGGAAGATACTTATCCGTTTCAGCATGCCAGGCAGATTTGTATGTAAAAATGCTATGTCCGAAGGGCACCAGAGTGTAAGTTTTATAGCAGCTAAACAGAGTTTTTTCCTGACCCATAGGATCCTTTTCCCGGCTACTCTTTCTACTAGTCGCCCCCGTGCCCGATTCTGACACGATTTTTTCTTCCGCCGGCCCCAGTTTACAGGTTTCCTTTCCCGCCCCCCCTGCCGAAGAGACGGGGACAAAAGTGAGCAGGACGGGAACCGTATGGCGTTCTCAAACGTTACATTCTCAACTGTTGCATAATTTGTCATGCAAATTCTCATCAGCATCTACACCATCAAGCTGCTTCGCATGACAAATTTTCGACGGGCTAGACAGCATCTAGATCCGTGCCAGACCTGTATTGCAAGAGGCGCAATCTTCCCCCTTTCACTCTTGCTGTTTTTGCATCACAAATTCATGCAACAGTTGAGAATGTAACATTTATAGAACGCCATAAACCAAAACTAACCCGTGCAGCAATCCCAACCCGACGATGCCAACGAACATGCGGAAGAAGATATCAAAAGGAAAAATCCCCCCTCCCCATATCAAAACGAAACTTCTGATGCTGGATTTGCGTACACAAATCAGATTTGTGTTGCAGAAAGGCATTGCGGCCAGATCCCCAGGCTAGCTGGGGGCTTATGGGTCTAGTTTCTCAGCATGGCGAACGGCCCCCCTTTAGGCCCAACGGCATGCCAAATGGCTTCCATAATATGGCGGAAGCTTCTGTCCTTGTCTTCTTGCAAGACAAATGCGATTTGTGACCTCAAATCAGCAACACAAATTTCCGGAGCAGACATACCTTTTCAATATGGGGAGGGGAGATTTTTCCTTTCAATAGAAGACCCGGAAAATAAACGAAGAGGCAAAGATGAATACAGACACGCCTATGACTTGCTCAAGCGTTACAATCTCAAACGTTACAATAGAATCTGGAATTTGTGTGGCACGATGAGCATGACAGGCTCGCACAGCGTTCCCACTTTTGCAATACAAATTTCGCCAGAGTGTCGTGAGGTTTAGGGCTCCGGAACTTGTCATGCGCAATCCTATGAGACTTGGCTAGATCATGCAATCTTGCATCACAGATTTCCATATTCTATTGCAACGTTTGAGATTGTAACAGCTGAGCGGGTTATAACGCCGAGAAACGTCGTCGAACCGCCCTTCAACACATTCGGAAGCATGTCCACGACGGCGTGCTGCATGCGAGAGTTGGCATCCGTCGTGGTGTCGGTGTTCTCGCTATGCACTGCAAATAATATCGATCTGGGTCTGGAAAAGTTCCAGCTTGGTGGAATGCACATATCACGAGGACAAGCTGCCAATTTCTTGCTAGTACGCACAAAAGGAGTTCATCTTCATACTTGATAAGCAAAAAAAGGCCTGCGGCTGTGTATTAAAGCCTGTATCTGTAAATGATGCTTTTGCGTGCATTACTATTTGCGTCATCGTCCGAAAGACAAAGATGGATGACAAACAAGCGCACCCTGCCTTGTTCCTGACCCAGATCTTCGATATTTGCAGTTGATACTCGTAGAAAAACGCGTGGACAATGTGCGCGGAATAGTCAACGACCAGGCCAATCGCCATCACCAGATTTACCACACTGATCGAGTTCAGGTCTAGTCCCCAGAGCCAGATCGAGCCTGATGATGATGTGGGGAGGGATTTTTAGCTAGTAGAACAAACTATGAGCTATCTACTCATCCGAGTAGCAGACTTCTTGTATAGGTGGTCACGAATACATGCAATATTAAACCGCATGAAGCAAAAGTCCAGCTCGTAAACAGTTGCTGGAGTTCGCATCGCACAGCGAGCGAACGCAAGCAATCTGGTGGACAACTCTAATGTGAGCACGACCACGAGCGACACCTGCTACCTGCATAGTCGTGCAACAACGTCATACTAAGATTCTACAGGATGTTGACCTCGTCGTAGTCTTAGTTCACAACTTTTCTAATCTTTATCTTTTCAAAAAACACTCCGCACCGTACGCATGTGTGTTGATGTACTCGTTATTGATTATACCCGTCAAATCGACATCCACCATGCACACGACCGCGCAAAGCAACAGCGTTCCAATCCAATTTGGAATGAGCAAAAACGTGATCAGAAAGACGCCAAGAATTGCAAACGCGTAGTTGGCTTTCAGCTCCTCGTCAATATGCCAGGTTTGGTCGAAGAACTGGTAGAACTTGGTCGACGCACGCACGTTGGGCTGCAACCGGGTCTCGTTGTCGACAAAGTCGTAAATTTCCTTATTCGCCGCCACAGCGTACTTGCCCGGCCGGACCACCGCCACGGTGTGTCGGAAAAACACCCGAGAAGCCGTGATCACGCGGTCAATATGCTGTGCAAAAGTATCGTACTCGTATTGCAGTCATGCATTACAAATCTTTTTTTGTCATAGCTAAATCCGCACTACAAGTCTCATGCTGAGAAAATTTGTAATGCATTTATACGAGTGCGATACTTTTGCAGTTCATAGTCAAACGCGTCCACCGAAGTGCGGTTGGTCATCAGTTGCCCGGCGGTACTTTGCTGGTCCGGCTCCAGTGTTTGGAACAGAATGTCGTCGCGAAACACCGCGTTGACGGTATAAAAATGCACAACTCTCCCTCCTCCTCATTTGTATGGCATGAAGAGCAATACAAACACCAGCGCAAATGGAGCCTATGCATGACAAATCTATGTACCTAATGTATAGTCCTGTTAGTGTGGGCTTCCCAAATTTGTCATGCATAATAGTGATACCAGCCATGCTCCGGCTGCCGCCGGAGCGCAAGGCTGTTGGGCCGGGGCAAGGCCGTTTGCTGATCGGACCACAACACCACGGGCCTGCGCACAAAGAAACATACTGGAGTCCTGCCGCCTGGTTACGCCACGCCAACCCGCAGGACCACTTGCGCGCCTCCCGCGCCTTCGGGCGCTCTGCGCAGGGAGCAGCTGCAAAGAACACCGGGGGCGAACAGAAGCCGCCCGGCGCGAGAGGGTGGCGCGGGAGGGTGGCGCGAGAGGGTCGCGCGGGAGGGTGGCGCGAGAGGGTGGCGCGAGAGGGTGGCGCGGGAGGGTGGCGCGAGAGGGAGAGGGTGCGCGAGAGGGTGCGCGAGAGGGTGCGCGAGAGGGTTCGGGCTTTTGCATGAAAGGGCCGCAAAAAAATCAGCCCTGTGCTGGGCGGATTCAGGTTTTTTTACCCCTCTCGCGGACCCTCTTTTTCACCTCTTCCGGGAGGTGTTGCTAATAGTCCGGCTATACTCGCCGGTAGAGGTCTACAAAGGTGGCCGAGAGGTGGCCCAGACAGAGGGTGCGCGAGAGGTCTCCCCTTATTCGCGCAACCTCTCGGCACCTCTGTCCACCTCTCGCTTGCCCTCTTTTTTACCTCTCGGCCACCTCCGTGCCGCTTAGCGGCCCTAAAGGGCGACCGGTTCGGCGGGCTATACTCGCGCCCCCTCTCGGCCACCCTCTCGAATTACCTCCCGCGCCACCTCTCCACCTCTGTCGACCTCTTTTTTACCTCCTTTGACCTCTTTTTGCCACCTCTCGTTTACCCTCTCTAGAGCAATATTTTCGCATGAATATAATAGATAGCAACAAGGGAACAATTGGAGTTGCGATTTTGCATGAGAAATGAGGCCGAGGGGGATTTGTGCACTGTCATAGACGGAGAGCTGCAGCCAGTTAAAAACCAAGTTCCCGAACAACCGGGGATCGCCGTGCGGAACCACGGCACTCCCCTATCGAAAGGAAAGATCCCCCCTCCCCATATCAAAACGGAATTTCTGATGCTGTATTTCTGTACACGAATCTATCAGCTTTGTACTGCAGAGAGGCACTGCGGCCAGATCCCCAGGCTAGGTAGGGGCCTATGGGTCTAGTTGCTCAGCATGGCAAACGGCTCCCCTTTAGGCCCCAGAGCATGACAAATCGCTTCCATAATAGGGCGGAAGCTGCTGCCCTTGTCTTCTTGCAAGACAAATGTGGTTTGTGACCTCGAATCAGCAACACAAATTTTCGCAAACATACCTTTTCAGTATGGGGAGGAGGGATTTTTCCTTACCAAATATAGCCGCCGGGGCGGGGGTAGTGAGGTCGTGGGCGTTTTTTTGCCGACCGCCGCCTTGGCCGCGGCTTTGCTTCTTCTGGGCTCGCCATACCGCCGTGATTAACGTTATGCCGCACGGTATTGCGGCCACCTGGGAAACGTCACAAATTTTGGCACACTTCCAAAATTCCTCTCCGAAAGCCAGCCCCGACGCTATGGGGCCGATCCGGGTGCCACGGGGGGCGCTCAAAAAGCGAAGAAAAACCGGGCCCATAGCATGCGGATTGGCTTTGCGCGTCTGGGGCGCTTTTTATTTTTCGCGTTTTTATTTTTCACGCCGGCGCTTTTTGCAAAGCTTCCCAGGCTCTAAAACCGGCGAAAAGGCGGCCGCTTTCGCGGCCGCCCAAAATGCTCCGAAATCGCGGCCGTGCCACGCTGTTTCGCTGTTCTGATTTTGGGTGCGTTTTTTACGCGCCCCTTTTTGGGCTCCCCAAATCGCCAGAAACTAAGGCGGCGGGCGCCTCAGAAGGGCGCCCCTTTTGCCGGCTCCCCTGCGTCGTTTTATCAAGCGGGAACCGATAGAATCCGCTCGGGCTTTTTTGCCGCAAACGCCCCGGCCGCTTGATAAGTGAAAACTTTTTATGCTCAAAAACACTTCCGGCCGCTTCAAAACTGCCGGTCGTTTTTCAGGGTATATGTCAAAAAAACTCCCTGGTTAGAACCGTTCGGTGACCTCACTACATACGATATCCCCGGCACCTTCTCCTGCGCGCACACCGTGCCGTTGGTCACGCAATACTGCCGGAAGGCGCGGAACCACGAGGTCACTTCGTCGCTTTCCACGTATTTCAGGTGCCGGACCGTGGTTTCGTGCTCGATCATAACGTTTTGGGAATCAAGTTGCGAATGGTCATGCGTGTAGTAGAGGCCAAAGTTGAGTCGTCCCTTCCCGCTCATTTCGTACATCTGGTCGGTGATCTCTAGCATGTCGCGGTAGTAACTCTCGTCGGGACAGTATCCAAGAAAAAAACGTTGCTAGTGTAAATTTGTGATGCGCAACATGTAAGATGACTGCGTCTGTCATGCTGGGCATGCATTGGAGGGTCCGTTCAATGGCGTTTTTCCGTACTATCTGCGCATGACAGATTTTTGCTCTCATGTCAGACGGATTTGTCATGGTGTTCCTCCAAGAAAGTTACACCTACAATCTTTTTTTCTTGGATAGACAGAGTTCCTTCAAGTCAAAGTCCTTGGTTACGTTTGTGATGCAGTAGATGCTAAAGCCGCAGTACCCGAAGAAAACAACGCAGACCAACAGCTTCACAACCGGCAGGGTCAGGAGCGGGGCGTAACATCTTCGAATGAAGGGGCGAAAATTGCTGTCGTCATAGGACGCGAAGAGAACCGTGGAGACTGGTGCTACAGCTACTGCATCATTTATTTTAGCGGTCTTCATTTCATCTTGACCGTCACTTCTTTCGTGGTCCTGAGGAGGAGCGATATCAGGGGCGGCTACCTGTCCTCCTGCGCTTTCTTCAAAAAAACCCTCATTATTCGTTCTATCGGTAGAAGTTGCTGTTCCACTTCCTTTCTCTAAGATTTTTGCCTCCGCCCGCTGTTCGCTGGTCTGCGTAGAAGTTGTTCTTGCAGTTATTGTCCGAATCTCTTCCACTTGCCCACTTGTCAGCAGCGGTCGTCCACAGCATAATACTGTGCCGGAAGTAGAGTCGCTGCAGCGCGCCTCACTACCGCCGTTCGTTGCTAAGCAAACACTCGGAAGAAAAGCCGCGCACATGCCGTCCTGCAACCGTTTCTCTTGGCGTTGCAGGTCCTTCACCAGAAAGGCCGTGAAAAGCGTGCACTGCAGCACGTAGTTGAAAAAGATGGCCATGGCGGCGTAGATGCAGAAATACTGCACAGCGGGGTAGCTGAACGTGGCTCCGAACAGAAAGACCACCACGTTTGTCAAACTGGTGAGGGTGACGGTCATGCCGCACTTCTCCAGCGCCTTTCTGGCTCGTTCCTTTGGGGGGAGGTCCGGGAAACTCTATCAAAAGGAAAAATCCCCCCTCCCCATATCGAAAACGAAATTTGTGATGCTGTATTTGAGTACACAAATCGACTTGTAATGCTAGAAGGCCAAGAGACGCAGCTGTGGCCTCGTTTGCAGGCAATTTGTCATGCTGTTTCCGACTTCCAGCTGCCCCCTGTCATGCTGAAGATGCAAGGCTTTCGCACGGCAACCCGCACTACAGTCCGCATCTTTTCCCTTCTAGCATGACGAAGCTGATTTGTGACCACAAATCTGCATCACAAATTTGTGGTTTGAGTATGGGGAGGGGGGATTTTTCCTTTTGATAAACTGTCGAAAGCGTTCACCAGGATAAACATGTCATCCTATCGTGAGAAAAAAGCGTCACAGTTACCCACTCGTCTGATGCAAGACAAGCAAGACAGACAGCCTCTGTCTTGCAGGAAATGCTTGCCAGCGTCATTTCGTTTGTGTTTTCTCTTAATGTCTGCGCATTACAAGTTTTCTTTGCCATGCGGAGCAACTTTGTGACGCTGAAATTCCAACAAATGCGCAACTGTAACACTTTTTTCCTGTGATACATCCACCCCGATCCCCACCAGGATAAACGGCAGCACCTGGTGTAAGCTGACGAAGTACATATGCATTGCAAATATGTCTGGGTCTGGAAGGTTGCAACTTGTCATGCTAATTTTGGATAGTGCTAAAATCTGTGTTGCATGATTCCCAAAAGCTGTCCACTTTTGACCAAGCTGAGAGGGAGTTTCTCATGCAGACGAGGCATGATAGAGGTCGGACAGAATCTGTCATGCTGGGTCATGTATGACAGACCTCACGCGTCATGAAAAACCTGCATGCCAAATCTTCCAACCTTCCAGACCCAGACATATTTGCATTTGATAGTACACGCCGCAGTACAAGCAGAACCCATATCCGATAATGGTGGAGAGGATGACCACAAACACGCCCAAGGTGGCCAATGCGGCCCGGCTGCCGATGCGCACGACCTTCCACCAGTAGGCCCGGCTGAAGTCGTACAGCTTCGGATGCGGCTTGCGAGACAGCATGATCCCACAGTAAATCGACATCAGCGTGTAGCTCAAGCCATTGAGAATTATATCCCCTCGCACGGACCGCAGCAGCTCGTCGTCAAGCGTTCGAGTGGACTCGCGGTAGATCTGAGTAGACGTTTGATGAAATATTTTTTGTTCATGATCTTCTAAATCATGCAACCAACAGGTTACTGACTTCTAATTATGTACTAAGTACCCGAAACCCAGAATAGGATGCTTTTTCGGCCTCGTCAAGCATTTCCATGGCGTCCAGGTAGTTTTTCTCCCAGGACAGATTGTCGTCCTCATTTGCATCGTCGTCATTCAAGAACACCCCGAGCTGGAACCCGAAAGCAAACGGGGTCGGTATTGCAGGGAAAAACGCCCCCACCCCCAAACTTGCAAAAATTTGTGATGCGAAGTTTCCAAATAAGAACTTTTTGCCATACATGGAAGGAGTATGAATCTTTGTGATGCAGAGTCTAGTCGTGTATCGTATCGCTTGCATGACAAGCGCCGCTCTTGCTGGGGTCTTTTGCAATACAAATTTTTGCTATTCACGATTGGAAACCTGTGATGCTGATAGATGCAAGAGGGCGAATGTTTCATTTGGAAAGGTTTGCAATACAAATGCTCCCAAGTTCGGGGGTGGGGGCATATTTCATTGTAATAGTCGGCGTCGCCTGGTACCCGAACATCATGTCGTTGCGGTAAACCTGCTGCACCGACCCTGGGTAGTAGTCCACCATGGCGTCCGCGACCTTGGTTGCCGACAGCTGAAATTCCGTGAAGTTCTGCCGCCAAAAGTTCACGACGCCCTCCACATAGCACCGGCTTGGGTCGTATGCATTGCAAATATGTCTGGGCGGTCTGGAAGAAGGTAACTTGTCATGCTGCATCTGGATCGTGGAAAAATTTGTGTTGCATGATTACCAAAAGAGTTCCACTTTTGAACAAGTTTAGAGGCAGTTTAGAGTTCTCACAGAACCTGTCATGCTAGGCCGTGCATGGCAGACCGCGTTGGTCATGGAAAACCTGCATGACAAACCTACCAATCTTCCAGACCCAGACATTTTTGCATTTGATAGGTCGTCGGCGCGTCGCGTGCAAAGATCTGCAAAGGACTTCTGGCTACTGGACTTCACACTGGTAATCGTGTTGTAGACGGTCCACAGTTTCGCCAACCCCGCGGATGTCAAAACGTTACCGAACCCAGAAACGGTCGGGGACATTCCACCGTCGTTCGGCTCGTAAACGAGGATGATGCGCTCAAACCTGCTGTACGGGCTGAAGTTCGCCTCGACCCAGTTCTGTGTGATCTTGGCCCGGGAATCCTGATCCACCCACAGCTCGTCGGCCCGGTACTTGGTCATTTTTGGCACCAGCGTTAGCCCCGGACTGAAGATCAGAAACAGCAACAACGCAAAGCAGTACACGCTGCCGGGCCTCGTGGCGGAGATCTCACCCAGCTTGCCGAAGGCAGCCACCCCGTAGGCATGCGCGCGTTCGGCGAACCGCTGCTCAAACAAACCGCCCCCGCGACGGGCAGAAGTCGTCGATTGCAACTCTTATCCAGAGCAAAAGCTGCATGTGCAACATCTTCGCACGTATACAACTAACTAGAACTCTGCCCGTAGTTTTTTATTAGGAGTTGCAAAAATAATGCAGCGTGAACATTCAATCAGAACGAAAAAATGAAAATCATTTTTTCCTTGAGATGGAAGAGTTTGTCACACGTACCATCGAGGACTTTTGCAATGGATAGCAGCATGCCACGCTCGTCCGTGGTGGTCGTAGTCGTGCCGCTGTCCGTGTGCGAGTGCACAAATCCCCCTCCCCTCCTTTGTCATGCAAAAAGCCAAACTCACCCTCTGCCTCGTCTTGGCAGTGTTTGCATCCCAGGTTTCGGCAGCTCAAACAGATACAGAACCAGCATTCTCCTGTGCTGTAAACTTGTCATGCAGCGAAAACTGCATTCTATTTCTACAATGCGGAGATTCATGCATTTTCACGACGAATGAGGGAGAGGAGGAGTTGTGCGAACTCATAGCCCAGCACGCCCATGCTGGGCTTGCGCTCGGGGTCGCTTGTTGCTGTCGTCCTTATTGTAGTGGTTCCTGAGTCGACTTTCAGGAGGCGCAGCAAGTTCCTTTGTTAATCAGGGGCCATGCCAGTAGCCGATCAAGCCAAAAGATGTGGTTACGAGTACAACGACAACCTGGTGTCCTATACAATAACAAGTCACTATCAAGTCGAATGTCAACATGTGACTGTAGCAAATCAAAATCTATCATGGTAGTACTAGCATCCTGCCACTATGATCTAGAGCATCCTGCGACGATGGTGCTGCAGCACAGGATCTGCACTATAAGTAAGTACTCAAATTACCACAGAAACAAGTAGCAACAGTGAAACTAGTATAAAGAAGGAACGTAGACTAATCCATGAAGAAGATATGGCTCGCCGTGAAGGTGGATGCTGCTCGTCGGAAACAAACAACTCGTACTAGTGCTGCAGAACCGGCGGACTTACGGCTGCCAGTTTGTTGCATTTCCATTTCCTTGAAATGGAAATAATGACCGAGCTGAAAAGAACGCTCTCCTTCTAGCTATACTTCCTCTCTCCAAACAATTTTCTCATAATAATCTCATGACAACACACACTTCGACTCGTCTCTGTAGTGTTTTTAGTAGATGCTGCCTCACAGGAGTCGGAGGAAGGACGTGGTGAACCCGCTCGAACATCCGTAGTTACCTGGCCTTGTTACGACAAGGCACGCAAAAAGCTGCGCTCGCAATGGAGACGGATATTTTCTTCATGGTCGTGCGGTGGGACTTTGAAGTAGTAGGCATGGGGGCATTCTTTTTTCTTTTATGATCTTCAAATTCATGCTCCTTCATCTCGCGACTCAAAAACAAAATAAATGCGAATACACAATACATACTAGTTCAGTTCCTGACCGTAATCGAAATCAATTTGTCATGCATTCTTCTTGATTTTTCACATGAGAAAACTATGTTTCCGAGTCCCACATTCCAAAACTTGATTTGTTTTTGCGAGTTCCACATTCGAAAACTTGATTTGTTCATACCGCTTTTTTGATTCCAAAACTTGGTTTGTTTATACTCCATTTTAATTTTTACCGCTTGCAGTCCGCGTGATAACCTTGCTTGCTGTGTTTTTAGCATGTGTTTTTAATTTGAAGTGAACGGATGAGCATACCCAATTACTGCAATCACTTGTCCTGCTGTCCATCGGTGCAATGGCTTTGAATTTTTGCAAAGTATAAATCTGCATGGTCTTCCAATTCTGATTAGCACAAATCACAGAAAAATACACAACCCTAGTTGTCAGTCACGTGTCTACAACATCGGTGCAATAACTTTAAACGAAGACAGATATATAAACGAATTCCACCTCTACCACACGTAATGTAGCTAGGAACATTACCTACATGAACCTCCATTCATTATATCAGGAGGTACTACAAGAATACTATAGCGATTGACATGAATCATGGCATACTTTTACTTTTTTCAATGACCCATGGTGGTCCTCGGACAAACCGCAAATAGAACCTCCGACGGGAAGATGGTGAGCTTGATTTAGTAATGCACAAAACAAGTCATCCACCACACGTAATTCTCTAGCTACTTACCTTAGGTACACTGTAAGTGCGAGCTCGAGGTCGTACTGGCCCGCGAGCACCTTTCGAGTTTCGTCATCCCTGCTTGGCTCCACTTTGAAACGAACGGTCGGGCGAGCAAAGTGATTCTCTTGCAGCAGCTCACACCAGATGGAAGTCGAGCTGCCTCGTGTGCTGGTCATCATGTCCGCTGCAGAAGCGGTGCACAACCGGAATTCCAGGACGGTCATCGGCACAGCCCTTCGTCCAATTGCTGCTGCATTCGCGCCGCCCGCGGCAGGCAAGAGCAGACCCGACCTGCGGATATTCGCATGCTGCACACGCAGGGCAGAAATCTTCAGAAGGCCATATTCCATATTCATCCCGCAGTTGGGCGGCCGAACCAAGACGCTGGTGGTATGGAGTTCTCAAACGCTACATAAGATAACACTGCGTGATGCAACATATATGCCATAGTAAAGGCGCAGCAAGGACGGAGGAATTAAAGCTTGTCCGTCTCGCCGCTTTACAAATCGGCACAAGTTTCTATGCTACTTGGCACGTCGAGAATGAACGTGTCAACATGCGAAGTAGCTTGTCGTGTGGCTGCTCATGCTGCAGCTGGCTGCTGATAACTTTGCATGACAAAGGACAAGTATAAAATCATCATCATGTAAACAGCAAACAATGTAACGCTATTTACGTTTGAGAGTCCCATAGGTGAGCAAGGTGGGCGGATTGGGGAAGCCCGGCCAATCCCAATGCTGTTCAGTATCAGTAGGAATAAAGCCGTAGTTCAGCCCCCCGGTAGTTGGCGGGTGCGAGTTCCCGTTGAAGAAGACGCTGGCTCCATCCACGTAGCTTGCGGCGTTCGGCCGCGCGAGCGCGTCTTCGAAGGTGGCGAGAAACGCGGAAGCGAACTCCTGACTCGCAGCGTTGGCCGTGTACTCGCTCGAGGTGGCGAAAAACTCCTCCGAGAAGAACGCCCCAAGTGACCGCGGCTGGCGCACCGAAAAAGCATCGCCGCGAAAGCGCCGGCTTACTCCGGCAAGAGGCGAAACAATCTCTCGGGGCCCGCCGCGTCCTCTTGGTCTTGTCGCGGCCTCACCCTCTTTCCATCTGCGCCACGCCTGAAAAAAAAGTTGCCACCGGGTCAAACCTTCTTCGACCAGCGTGATCGGTTGTCCCGGTTCAACGTTCCACGAACGACTGATGGCCTCCGGCAACACCCGGTCTCGGACTTCATTCAGCTCGGCGGCCCCTAGCTGGGGGCGGCCGGAAAACATGACTTTCAAAAGTGAAATCAATTCGGACCAGTCCGGATGCTTATCCCGTGCGCCTTTGTCGATCACGGCTAAAACGTGGTCTGGCACCTGTTCCAAATGAGCTTGCTGCTGCCCGCTACTGGCACGGACTGCGCGAGCGCTCGTCACGCAAGAAAACGAGGACCACCCACAGAATGCTGTTACGACCAGCGCGCAAAAAGCTGCTGCACTCCGAGGCGCAGGAGCGACGGACATTTTCTTCATGGTGAGGGACTTCTGAAGCATGACCTTCTCTTTGATAGTTCTCAAATTCTCTGCTTGACCCAAGAAGAAGAACTCAAAGGCACTATACTATTCCACCTGATCACGCTGGTTACGGTTAGTGAGAGCGGTTTCGAAATAAAATTCCCTTGATTGCAAAGCAAAGAAAGTCGTAGCTGTCCTGTGTGTCCGTGTCGTGCGTGTAAAAAACCTCAAATAATACAATAACTACTTGTGGAGAAATTGAAATCGTAAAAGTCGGATGATATACTCGCCATAAAGAACTTCACCTGGTTTTATTTGACCTCTAAGCCAGTACAGAAGATCAGAAATACCTGACTCCGAAATTGATGATCAGACACAAGAAGTGGCACGCCTAAAAAAATGCATCAACATACAACATTTCCTCATCAACATTTATCGCTTTCGTCTATCGAGAACAATTCTGATCTCTTCAATTCTCAAAGAAGAGGAAGAGTTGTAGAACTGCTGTCAACTCCATACACATCAACCGACACCGATATACAACCGACAGCACGCTCAAGTAGATGATCCTCAACAGGACAGCGGTGCTTTTTATTTTGAACCGTCGCAATTATGGAACCAAAAACGTAGAAAGATTTGTCGATTTGAAGATCACGAATCGCAGCATTATTTTTATGATCAGTTTGCGGAGCCGACGCGGATCTGAAAAGCTTCATCTTTGACTTTTTCGTAAATTGATCTAATGGAAGGAGGCATAGAACAGTGGCGCCCGAGGACCCGGAGAGTGGCGGATGTTCACAACAAATACGCACGGCACCTGCATCAAATTTCGTGCGCCTATGTAGAAAAGTGGAACATTGACATTGATAATGTACATGTACTGGAGATGCTGGTGGTGGCATTGGTGCAACGGGAAACTCTTCGCTAGCGAGCGGCTAGCACTTGTTTTTTCAGTTCGAAGAATGACCACTTCTCTGTCTGTTCAATATTACCGGGACTCCTGCTGCTGGTTTGTTCTGCCGCAGACTCGAAGTTGAACTTAGTACCTCGCTTCAATCCTCCAGATCAGCATCAGCGTCTGCAAGAACATCTAGAGTAGATAATTGCAGATCATCAAGGTGCCTATACATGAGTCTTTCGAAGATTGGCAATACCTCCGCTGCACGACTCCCAACATGTTGATCCTGCTCTTTATTGTCATCAGCCTCGCCCCGGCGGGTATAAAAGTACCGCCCCGCCCGCGTTTTCGGCTGAAACGTCAGTTCGTAGTCGTCATTGCGGTGCAGTTCTTGCCTGCTCGTCACCTCCGCAGATTTCTTCAGTGGCTGCAGCTGCTGAATGCGGCGAAAAGCCCGATGCAGGGCTACAGGAGACATTGCGTTCTTAGAAGAGATGCCACGGTCGTGAGGACTTAGGGTCCTGCTTTCTTGGTCTTGCGTCGCACCATTCGTAACATTCGCAGGAGAAGATGAGCAATCTTTTTTTGCTTCCTCACCCCCTTCCGGAGGCTTTAGTGGTTGTGCTGTACCCCCGCGGCCTCCTGTGCCGCTGTACAGCGAGGCATTTCTCAGCTTGAGAATTTCCTCCTGCCCAGCGGCGAAAGCCTCCTTCGTTTCTTTCTCCTCTTGCTGGTCCCGAGCTGCCTGCAACACCTCACCCACCTGCAGCTGGCGGTCCATAAACTTCCGTACCGCCGCGCTGTTGCGCTGCGCCCACGTCTGCTTGCCGCTGTTGTTTAGTAATTCTTCGCTCTTCCTCGACAGCGGCCGGGGCGCGAAACTGCAGCTGTTTTCCTCCTGCGTTTCCTTCTCGACTCGTTTCGCCTCGCGCCAGCGGGCCCGTCGCTTCTCCCACACGGAACAGCGCTCAATCAAATTTTCGAGCTTCAGCCCCTTCTGCGATCCTCGCCCCTCCGACGCGGCGAGCACGTTGTTGCTGCGCGCCAGTCGGATGGTCTCAAACTTTTTCTCCTGCAGCAACTCCGCTTGCAATTTCCGCTCCCGGGCCTCCTGCAACATGCGGTCGCGGCGGAACCCGTCCAACTGGTGAGGGTGACGGTCATGCCGCACTTTTCCAGCGCCTTTCTGGCTCGTTCCTTCGGGGGAAGGTCCGGGAAACTGTCGAAGGCATTCACCAGGATAAACATGTCATCCACCCCGATCCCCAGCAGGATAAACGGCAGCACCTGGTGTAAGCTGACGAAGTACACGCCGCAGTACAAGCAGAATCCGTACCCGATAATGGTGGAGAGGATAACCACAAACACGCCCAAGGTGGCCAATACACCCCGGCTGCCGATGCGGACGACCTTCCACCAGTAGGCCCGGCTGAAGTCGTACAGCTTCGGATGCGGCTTGCGAGACAGCATGATCCCACAGTAAATCGACATCAGCGTGTAGCTCAAGACGTTAAGAAATATATCACCTCGTACGGACCGCAGCAGTTCGTCGTCAAGCGTTCGAGTAGACTCGCGGTAGATCTGAGTAGACGTTTGATGAAATATTTTTTGTTCATCTTCTAAAAAAATCATGCAACCAACAGGTTACTGACTTCTAATTTATGTACTTAAGTACCCGAAACCCAGAATGCACTGCTTTTTCGGCCTCGTCAAGCATTTCCATGGCGTCCAGGTAGTTTTTTTCCCAGGACAGATTGTCGTCCTCATTTGCATCGTCGTCGTTCAAGAACACCCCGAGCTGGAACCCGAAAGCAAACGGGGTCGGCGTCGTCTGGTACCCGAAAATCATGTCATTGCGGTAAACCTGCTGCACCGACCCTGGGTAGTAGTCCACCATGGCGTCCGCGACCTTGGTGGCCGACAGCTGAAATTCCGTGAAGTTCTGCCGCCAAAAGTTCACGACGCCCTCCACATAGCACCGGCTTGGGTCGTATGCATTGCAAATATGTCTGGGCGGTCTGGAAGAGTGTAACTTGTCATGCTGCATCTGGATCGTGGAAAAATTTGTGTTGCATGATTACCAAAAGAGGTCCACTTTTGAACAAGTTTAGAGGCAGTTTCTCATGCAAGAGCGGCCTGATAGAGATCTCACAGAACCTGTCATGCTAGGCCGTGCATGGCAGACCGCGTGGGTCAAGGAAAACCTGCATGACAAACCTACCAATCTTCCAGGCCCAGACATTTTTGCATTTGATAGGTCGTCAGCGCGTCGCGTGCAAAGATCTGCAAAGGACTTCTGACTGCTGGACTTCACACTGGTAATCGTGTTGTAGACGGTCCACAGTTTCGCCAACCCAATTTTCAAAGATAGCGCTGGTCGATCCCTCCCCTCCCCGACACTATGGCGCTCTCGTTGCTGTACAGCTTGGGTATCCTTCTCTGTGGGGCCGACTAAGTACCTCCGGAACGTCCTTCTCGGAATGGTCGCCGCAACACACGCAGCTAGGCCAAGCCGTTCACGCCTTGCTTCACAGTATGAAGCTGCCTGCGCGCCCCGGGCTTCTTCGTCCCTCTTCTTGTCGCGCGCGATCGGTGGCCAGCAAGTAGCCGGAAAAAGCCCTTGCTTTTGACCAGCTAGCAGGAGCTATTGCTGCTGCCGAGGAAGCCACAATTGGGGGCTTTACACAATTTCTGTCCCGAGCCCCAAAAATCGCCTGGACTGCGGAGCTGGGGCCAGAAATTGTAATGACCCGAAACACGGGCTGAGTCGGCATATTACAATTTCTGGCCCCAGGCCCACCGCCCAGTCGTTTGCGGGCCAGGTTTGTGGCCGTGGAAGCGAAACGCTTCCCCTTTTTCTTCGAAAATAGCAAAACACTAAATCAAGCCAATACATTTTCCCAATCCCTCCAGCACGTCCGTGCCAAACGCGGCGCATTCCCGCGCCACATCTTCGTGGTGCGGAATTTATTCGGCCCTCCCGTTGCGGGTGTCTTCGCGCAGCCCCACGCGGGCCTCCGCCATGATTCCCAGGGCCTCCTCCATAATCCCGGGCTTTCCCCGGCAATCCGCAGGGGGCCACCTTCGCGGGCTGCTGAACGTTTTCTACTAGCTGGGCTATTAGAAACGGGAATGCAAATTTTTGAAAAATGGGCTGGGGAAAGTTTTTCCGCTTCGTACGTGTTGTAGACGGTCCACAGTTTCGCCAACCCGGCGGACGTCAAAACGTTACCGAACCCAGAAACGGTCGGGGAGATTCCACCGTCGTTCGGCTCGCAAACGAGGATGATGCGCTCAAACCTGCTGTACGGGCTGAAGTTCGCCTCCACCCAGTTCTGTGTGATCTTGGCCCGGGAATCCTGATCCACCCACAGCTCATCGGCCCGGTACTTGGTCATTTTTGGCACCAGCGTTAGCCCCGGACTGAAGATCAGAAACAGCAACAAGGCAAAGCAGTACACGCTGCCGGGCCTCGTGGCGGAGATCTCACCGAGCTTGCCAAAGGCAGCCACCCCGTAGGCATGCGCGCGTTCTGCGAGCCGCTGCTCAAACAAACCGCCCCTGCGACGGGCAGAAGTCGTCGATTGCAACTCCTATCCAGAGCAAAAGCTGCACGTGCAACATCTTCGCACGTATACAACTAACTAGAACTCTGCCCGTAGTTTTTTAGGAGTTGCAACAATAATGCCGCGTAACTACATTCAATCAGAACGACAAAGATTGTGTTTTCCTTGAGATGGAACAGTTTGTCATACAAATTTTTATGCATACGCCTGTACCATTGAGGACTTTTGCAATGGATAGCAGCATTCCAGGCTCGTCCGTGGTGGTCGTAGTCGTGCCGCTGTCCGTGTGAGAGTGCACAAATCCCCCTCCCCTTCTTTGTCATGCAAAAAGCCAAACTCACCCTCTGCCTCGTCTTGGCAGTGTTTGCATAGCAGGTTCGCTCAAACAGAACCAGCATGATTCTTCTGTGTAAGCTTGTCATGCGAAAGCCGCGTTCTATTGCTACACTGCGGACGAGATTCATGCATTTTCACGACAAATGAGGGGGAGACGGAGTTGTGCGATCTCATAGCCCAGCACGCCCATGCTGGGCTTGCGCTCGGGGTCGCTTGTTGCTATCGTCCTTCGTTCTTGTAGTGGTTCCTGAATCGACTTTCAGGAGGAGCAGCAAGCTCCTTTGTTAATCAGGTGCCATGTCAGTAGCCGATCAAGCCAAAAGATGTGGTCACGAGTATTTCTACAACCTGATGTCCTATACAATAACAAGTCACTATCAAGTCGAATGCGGCAGTGGCAAATCAAAATCTACCATGGAAGTACTACCATCCTGCCACTATGATCTACAGCATCCTGCGACGTCGATGGTGCTGCAGCACGGGATCTGCACTATAAGTAAGTACTCAAATTACCACAGAAACAAGTAGCAAGAGTGAAACTGGTATAAAGAAGGAACGTAGACTAATCCATGAAGAAGATATGGCTCGCCGTGAAGGTGGATGCTGTTCGTCGGAAACAAACAACTCGTAGTGCTGCAGAACCGGCGGACTTGCGGCTGCCAGTTTCTTGCATTTCCATTTCCTTCATAACACAGATGGAAATGACCGAGCTGAAAAGAACGCTCTCCCTCTAGTAATATTCCTCTCTCAAAACAATTTTCTCATAATAATCTCATGACAACACTACACGCTTCGACTCGTCTCTGTAGTATTCTTATTAGATGCTGCCTCACAGTAGAGTCGGAGGAAGGACGTGGTGAACCCGCTCGAACATCCGTAGTTACCTGGCCTTGTTACGACCAGCACGCAAAAAGCTGCACTCGAAGTGGAAACGGACATTTTCTTCATGGCCGTGCGGCGGGACTTTGAAGTAGTAGGCATGGGCTTCTTTTCTCTTTATGATCTTAAAATTAAATTGGTCTTACGACTCAAAAATAAAATAAATGCGAATGCTTACTAGTTCAGTTCCTGATCCTCACTAACCTAATCGAAATTAATTTGTCATGCATTTTTCACGTGAAAAAACTATGATTCCAATCCTAAATTGCATTTTAATTATTTGATTTTAATTAATCAACTTCGGTTTCCGCATTTCAATTTTTACCGCTTGCAGTCCGCGTGATGACCTTGCTTGCTGTGTTTTTAGCATGTGTTTTTAATTTGAAGTGAACGGATGAGCATACCCATTTACATTTACTGCAATCACTTGTCCTGCTGTCTATCGGTGCATATAGCTTTGAATTTTTGCATAAGTAGGTCTTCCAATTCTGAATCTGATTAGCACAAATCACAGAGAAATACACATCCCTAGTTGTCAGTCACGTGTCTAAAACATCGATGCAGTAACTTTCAACGAAGACACATAAACGAATTCTACCTCTACCACAGATGTTGATGTAGCTAGGAATATTACCTGCATGAACCTCCATTCATATCACGAGGTAAAGGTACTACAAAAATACTATAGCGATTGACATGAGTCAACATGGCATACTTTTACTTTTTTCAATGCACCATCGTGGTCCACCTCGGACAAACCGCAAATAGAGCCTCCGACGGGAAGATCGGAAAGATCATGATGGGCTTGATTTAGTAAAAATGCACAAATCAAGTCCTTCCATCTACCACGCGTAGTAGTCCTCTAGCTACTTACCTTAGCTGCACTTGAAACGCGAGCTCGAGATCGTAGTGGCCCACGAGCACCTGTCGAATGTCGTCATTCCAGCTTGGCTTCACTTTGAAACGAATGGTCGCGCGATCAAAGTGATTCTCTTGCAACAGCCCGCACCAGATGGAAGTAGAGCTGCGCCGCGTGGTCATGTCCGCTGCAGAAGCGGTGCACAACGGGATATCCCTTGTTCGTTCAATTGCTGTTGCATTAGCACCGTCCGCGGCGGGCAAGAGCAGATCCGGCATGCGGATATTCGCATGCTGCACACGCAGGGCAGAAATATTCAGACGGCCGTCTTCACTCCGGCGGTAGTCGGGCGGCTGAACGAAGACCCTGAGGGTATGGAGTTCTCAAACGCTACATAACATTGCTATACTGTTGCCTGAATTTGTGATGCAATGTATTTGCATAAATATACCATAGCAAAAGTGCAGCAAGGACGGAGGAGCTTAAGTTTGTCCGTCTCGCCGGATTACAAATCGGCACAAGTTTCTATGCTATTTGGGCCGTCGAGAATGACCGTGTCAACATGCGCATTCATTAGCTTGTCGTGTGGCTGCTGCAGGTGCAGATGGCTCCTGCACCTGCTGATAATATTGCATGACAAAAGACAAGTATACAACAACAGCAAAAAATGTAACGTTTGAGAGTCCCATAGGTGAGGAAGATGGGCGGATTAAGGAAGCCCGGGACCTCAGTAGGAATAAAGCCGTAGTCCAGCCGCCCGAAAGTTTGCGGCTGCGAGGTCCGGTCGAAGCAGACGCTGGCTAGCTCCACGTAGCTTGCGGCCTGCGGCCGCGCGAGCGCGTCTTCGAAGGTGGCGAGAAACGCGGAAGCGAACTCCTGACTCGCAGCATTAGCCGTGTACTCGCTCGAGGTGGCGAAAAACTCCTCCGAGAAGAACGCCCCCAGTTGTATTAACCGCGGCTGGCGCACCGACAAAGCATCGCCGCGAAAGCGCCGGCTTACTCCGGCAAGAGGCGAAACAATCTTTCGGGGAGGTCCGCCACGTCCTCTTGCTAGACGTCCCTGTTCGGGCCTCCTCGCGGGGGCCTCAACATCTTTCCATCTGCGCCACGCCTGGAAAAAGAGCTGCCACCGGGTCAAACCTTCTTCGACCAGCGTGATTGGTTGTCCCGGTTCAACGCGCCAAAAACTACTGATGGTTTCCGGCAACACCCTGTCTCGGACTTCATTCAGCTCGGCGGCGCCGGCGTCCGGCTGGTGTTGGCCGGAAAACATGACTTTGAAAAGCGAAGTCAAGTCATCGTTCCGCGCGCCTTCGTCGATCACGGCCCAAACTTGGTCTGGCATTTCCTCCCATTCCGGCACGAACTTTTCCCCTTGCTCCGCGGCCTTCTGCTGCTGCTCTTCTTTTCCTGCCTGCTGCCCGCTACTGGCAAGCACTGCGCGAACGCT